AGCAGAGCAGCGATGTCTGAGGAGCACAACAGCACCGCAGCAGATTTGAACTTTTGCATTTTGTTCTATTTTAAAAAAAGTCTAAATCAGTCAAGCAAACATTTCCTGCGACGTCTCCAGTAAAACATAAAAACACAGTTGCTGTAATGTCCCTCAGGTTTCCATAACCATACAGGGGCAATATGGACAGATTCAAGCTCTCTTGATGCTACACAACGTTTCTTTCAAACGGGTGTCAGGTTCTTTTTGCAGCCCTCTCTGTTTTAACATGAAAGGGTCGGGCAGACACAAAGAAGACAGACAGCACGGGAAAGGTGCAGCGTCTGACATCTTTTTAGGGCACAGCAGGAGCACCTCGGAATCTGAGAGACGCTCTGCTTTTAAGACGAGCACACTTGATGTGAGCTGACCAATCATACACTGGACTGGGATGGTGCTTACAGTGCACGCAGAGCTGGAGGTTACAGACAACAGCTGAAGTCCTTTTGCAGAATGTTAAATGAAAGGGTTTTCCTTGTGTCCAAAAAACCAGGGTTTCCCCGAGGAAATATATCAGAGGAAGTGTTAAACAAAAGAAGGAGCCTTTGCTGGCAGGAAATGTCATAATGAAACCGGTGAAGCAGGAACGGCTTCAAACATTAACTTTTAAATAAAATGGCCGAGCAGGTGCATACAGAATTTCAAGTTCCGACGTTTTGCTTCCGACTCTTCTCGCTCAGAAAAAAACTTTGAATTTCTGTTGTTTTTTTCCACCAACTTTTTGCCGTATCCCTTTGATTAATTACAGCGAAGTGAACGTTCATTAAGTCCCAAAAACCTATTGATCAATTACTGTCATCTTCTGAGCTCGGTGACAGATTCATCATTTGTCCTGCCCCACTACTCAGAAGATCATTTTCACGCCTACTTGCAGCTGCTGCTTGTGGTGTCAATATCATTTTTTGATATTTTTCTCTGCTCAAGTTTTAGGACTACACAGACTTTTTTAGAAATTTGGAGAAAAAAAAGGAGAAACTTATCCAACACCGGTGCATATACATTCACCGTACGCCACCTGTGACATCACCAGTGCACGTGGGCAGTGAGAATTTCCGATGTCCGTTCACGCTGCACCTTCATTCATCATCGCTTCACATTCCACAGAGAATTCTACACTGTAAGCTTCATTAAAACCAAAAATCCTGTGTAATATTTAGTTTTCAGGTTTAATATGGGCTGAGGAATGGGGCAGGCTATGAGCTCATGCCGTGAGTTTTTTTTAAATCCACAAATCGCTCCATTCAATATCCTCCCACTCACACTGACAAACCCAGAGAGCATAAACACACAGAGCAAGGTTTGGAGAACAGGGTTGATTTTAGTTTCATGTATCTGTGCGTATGAAAGCTGAATGGAATCTTTACACCACTCAACATCTTTCAATGCCACTAAGTGTGTCGCAGAATCAGAGGAGCAGGAAACGCTGGTATAAAGGCTGAAGTCATTTTTCCACACCAGTAGAAGCAGCTCTGATAGAGGTAATTTCATCTTGGCAGGGGGGCAAGCAGAAGCCACGGACTGGTCCGTGATCAGCTCTGGGTTTTAGACCACGATGCAGACTTGGCTCGCCTCCACTCAAAACAACCCTCCCTTCACTTCCACGAGCGACCAACCTGCCTCGGACACACGGGGGGGCTGATGACGCCGGGGAGAGTAAACGCTTTTAACAGCACGAGGGACAGCAATCAGTAAGGAAATCAGTAAAGGCATGGAAAAATAGCAGAATAAAAAGTATAGTGAGTGGAGAGAGAATTACTTTCAATCTAAGACAAACAAACCTCAAAAATACAACATGGGTTTGATATCATAAGAGATGGGATTTAAATATACAAGTTTCATGATGTACAGTCTTTCCACAGAGTAAATAATAACTGCACTGTGTATAAAAATACTGTAGTTCAGCTTACACTGGTTTAATCAGCAGCTATATGAGAGTAAATCAGCAAACAGGAGGGTCCAACATTCTCCTTTTGATACAACATTCAAATGCATCTGCACAAATGTGTACATGGTCAAAGATATCTACCTCATAAATATTCCTAATCTGAAAAATCCAAATCCAAAAATTGAGAAAATAACTAAATAAATGGAGAAAGTGAAAAGTGGATCGACTTCTTTATCCAGACCCACACCATCGGCCGATGTCCCATCCCTCCACCAATCTTCATGGAAATCTGTTCTGGGCTTTTTGTGTAATCTTGCTCTCAAACAAACCAACCAGCAAAGAAACAGACCGGGGTGAAAACATAACCTCCTGGTCGAAGGTAATAAAAGTCAGTCGTCCTTGTTTGTCCAAATTGCCGAGCTAAAAGCACCGACCCCCCCCATGAGCCACCAAAAAGATGCAAGGCAGATGTCAGTCCATCTATTCATAGGATATTGATCCACCCGTCCCTCCTGCCAATTACAAGTGATAAACTGTTGTTGACAGTCGGGGCAAATGATTTCAATAATTGGGGTCAATTTAACCCCCACAAACCGAGCACAGGCACTTTCAGCTGCTGAAGAAGCAAACAGGAAACAAAGCACACACAGGTTTGTTATTTTCCGTGGCTGATCTCAAACTGCTGACCTCAACTCAACGTGCCTTACACCGAGAGGCCGAGCAGAGAGCGCTCCGGCATCAGATCGGTAGTGTGTCCTAATGGAGGTGGTGTCATGAGAGAGGTTTATGAATCAAACACTTGTAAATGTGCACAATTATCCATCTCTCGGTGGATGGAGGTCATTAGGCCTTTATGAGCGCATAAATAAATGATCAACAAACAGTGAACTATACGGCAGAGAGACCACAGGTGACTCCACATGACGCACCCTCTCAGCCCATCATGACGTGATGGAAAGATTCTGCTGCTTCTGAGCTTGTAAATACCCAGAAAAGACAGACTACACTGTGACATGAGGGTGAGGTCTGTGTTATTGTTGAAATTCAGGGTGAACAAGATCCAGATTTCAGCTTTCTTTACCCACAAAAACTAGGGGGACCACCGGGGCTTTCCATACGCAACAACACAAAGGTGGCAAATTAGTCCACAGAGAAGACCTTAAATGCACCGAAGAGAAACGCTGGTTGTTTATAAAGTCTGAGCGGAGCTGCATCTGAGGTGGTCTGTGGGGATAAAGCCCTGGAGAGTGGTCTGAAGAGCAGAGGGGGGGGGGGGTTGCCAAATGTTTACACATTTCAGCAAGTTATTTGCATTGTCCTCTGGGATACAATCAGCACACAATCCCCCCCCAGCAGGATTACAGAGATAAGATAGAGCCTAAATGTATTTTACACTCCTCTAACAGGCACTTGTTTACAAAAGCCAAAACTTGTGGGGCAATTTATTTTAACTTCTAACAACTTTTAACTACAAACGAGGAAGTGGTAAAAAAAAATATATATATATATATAGCAGCAGTCTGGTTGAACTTTAACAGGTGGTTCCAAACTAAAACAAAAAAGAAAAGTGAGACAATCTACTGTGCGTGTTGTCCCCGAAATAAATGAGACGGACAGAAACTCTTGAAGCTGCGAGCCTCTGCCAACTCGGATAAAAGATAAAGTTGCAGCCGCAGCCGGGACCTCAAGAGAAATGTGTTTTGAATAAACAGATATTTTCAGAGAAGGGGACCCCACAATTAGTAATTTGAGACTCGCTCTGCGTGTGGGTCCCCATCCAATTCTCTGGAATCAATCAGAGCTCCCAAAGGAACTCCCTGGTCCCCTAATCTCCTGGTTTTATTACTTTCCAGACAGTCAGCCTGTTTCACCCTACCCCCATCTCTCTTTTGTACTGATCTCTGGCAAAGCCAAGGAGGGGTTTTCTTTTTTTTTTTTCCTCCCTCTCTCTCTCTCTATCTCCCCGTCCACCACTGCAGAGCTCTTCTCATGCAGGAGAGGGTCTTTCATCAGGCTCCACACGCAAGAGACCCCAGCAGCAGCAGCAGCAGCAGCGATAGCAGAGGCCCATCATCCTGAAGCCGGTCTTTGCACGTTCATTCTTTTTAGAACTGGCAAAGGAAACACTGAGCTTTCAGAAGGGGGATGGACGGCTTCTTTTATTTTGACACACATACACAGAACTATTTTGCATATGGTCAGAATGATTGGGTGGATAAATTGGGCCACGATGTTGCAGGAGAGTCAGTTACATTCACAGCTTTCCAGACCACATGCTGCTGCGTCTCACAGCTTTCAAAAAAAAAAAAAAAAACGATAAAGAACTCTGGCATGATGGGGGTCCGAGATAAGAGCTGGAGCTGTGTGTGCTGCAATGGCTGCTGGGAGGACCCCCTCTTCTTTTTCCTTTTTACTCCTTTTTACCAAAGGCCTCTCCAATGCATCTGATGGCCCTTGAGTGCTCACCACAGATCAACATGTCTCCATGCAGAGGGCCACCAGTTGGAAGAAGTGCCTCAAAAACAATTGCCAGGAGCAAATGAATAAGCTTCTGTTTATCCATCAGCCAAACATGTATTGACGCCCAGTTAATGAGAGTCTGCAGGAGTGATGATGCGGCCTTATTACCTGACCAGTGAAAACACTAATGACCTCTTTCCATCCTGTGCTTCTTTCTTTGGGGGGGGGGGGGGCAAAGCTGATGCATGATCCAAACCTTCTGAAATCTAACGGCACGACCGAAAAACACCAGAACAACTCAGCCACATGTGAGTGAATCATCTTTTTAAAAAAACCTCAGTGCGGACAGACAGAGGAGAGGATGCATGTTTGTCTGCAGCCCTGGAGTGAGTAAAGTGTGTGTTATGAAAAGAAGTAGCCTGCTTCAGTTGAAGTTAGGGTTAAAGGAGGAGCCGAGCAGCAGAATTAGCAGCTTTAGCTCCATTTGTCTGCGCTCCAGAGGCAGCAGCAGCTCTTTCTGCCTCTTTTATTCCAACCGCACGAGCGTCGGTGCCATGGATGTGAGTTCCTGGAGGAAGAGAGACGTGCAGGAAGGAGGAATAACACAAGCATTTACCTTTGTCGACATGCTTTGCCGCGGTGCTCTCCGTGCAGAGAAAGGTGAGACAGAGGAGAGAGAGGAGCCACAGAGCTCCCCGCTCGGCCATCACTTTTCACAAATGAATCTTTGCAGGCTTCAGGAACCCAGAGGAGGCTTCACTTTCAATAGATGGAAGAAAACAAAAAGAAGAATCCGTAAAATCCCACCCCCGGGGTCACCTCCTGGGGGGAAAAATGCGCAACAAGGGACGAAACCCCACAAAAAGAAAATATATATCAAAAATAAAAGTTCAAAGTGCTATAATGCGCAGAAACATCCGGAGCCAGGTAGTTTTTCAAAGTGTCCGGGTGGAACATGGAGCTGGAGGGAGGAAGCCGCAGGTTGGAGACGCGCACACTGTTTTCTCAACTTGTGTCGAGGCGAGAGGTCGAAGAGAAAACACTGAAATCAATCCATGGCCACGGAGGCGCAGCGCAAGGACGAAAAAACCACCGCTGAGAGCGACGCGCCGCCGACTCCACTCCCCAACGATATGTGCCAGATTCCCGTGCGTAAAAGGCAGAGGAAGGCGACTTGGAGAGAGCTGAGCCAGGGGAGGTTTAAAAAAAAAAAGATTAGATCCGAGCAGAGGAAGAAATCTCCGCCGCGGCCAGCTCACTGCTCACGGACGGGACGTAAGAGAGAAGCGTGTTGAAGGGCTGGATCTCCGCAGGCTCCCCGGAAAACAGGGTGTGGAGCGCGGAAGTTTGGATCGTGGCTGCTGCCTGTGCGCGCTCAGGCAAACACTAAAATACGGTGTGGGATTTCAGTCCTGACTCAACACCTCAGCTCACACTGTGAAAGACACTGCTCACATTTTTACATTTCACAAATTCAGCTGAGAGGAGGTTTGATGTGTCCCTCTTTAAAAAGAAAAACACATTCTCATAGTTTCAGAAATGTTTCTATCAAACTATTTATTTTCACGTTACATCAGCCTCTCAACTCTTTGCAGTTAATACGATAATGTATTACAAAACTAGGCGTACGAGTAATATACCAAGTAGTACTGATGTATATCAAACTAACACAATAATTGCTTGTGACTCAAAGTAAACTATTGTATTTTGTTCCATCACACGTATGTGACAGTTACTTTTCAGACTTATTTGAATAAAACAGAATATAATTATCACATTCATATTATCCCTCAAAAACTACCAAGCAGCAATATAATGGATTTTTAATTCTTAACTATTGCATAAAGTAGTTTTATTTTACTTTACCTTTACCAGTTTCAAAAAGAGTAATGAAGACATTAATACACAAATCCAGCAGTATATCAGTTACAGTGAAACGAGCCCATCTGCATGATTAGTACCTTTGCTTTTGGTTCTGTAAGACTGCAGCCATCACTTATTCCATTATCAATACACCTGCCAGTTGTTTTTAGTACAGGATTGATTGTTCAGTCAATATAATGTCAGAAATAAAGAGAAAATGCCCACAAGGATCATTAATCCCTGAATTCCTCAACCAACTATAGAAATTAGAGAAGCTGTAACCAGTACTAATCATTTCCTCTTTAGGGTTCTGGCTTTTTTCTGTTAGCTGGAGAAATAATGAAATGCTTGGTAGATATATCTATAGTTAAAGTGAATAATTGGGTTCAGCAGTTCAACTACACGTTTTTGCCCCGGGCCCTGTGGATCATTAATCCAGCCATGAAGGCACCGGTTGCACTTATATGATATGTGCAGTTTGCTGCCAAACGTTGGATTATGCATCTTCAAATGTTTGTTTGCTGTTTTTCATCCACAAAGTTACCGTCCTCCAAACTGTCCTATTTCTGCAATAATAACATCATTATAAATTAGATGGCGAGCAGCCTGAATTATAAAAGCTGAATTAATTTCCTGCACATTTTGTGGTTCCATTTATTCAGTGTTGTAAATCTGAGCTGTAAAAGTTGACGTCAGACTGTGTTTAGCAAATCATTTGGATGGATTTACTCTTCGCTGCAGTTTCCATGTTCCTCAAGGGGACAGACTGGGCCTGAGCTGAGAAGAGGCAGTAAAACATGATCTTAATCCTTCTTGTCCTCTGTGGTGTTGGAGTAAACAGCAGTGAAACTAGTTAACCTCAGTTAATATTCTTACCTCTGCTAAACTAATCCAGTGATTAAACAGATGTCGGTTTCAGTGGAGTTGAGGCAGCTGGCCTCAGCAATAGTTTACACACATAACACAAATAATGGGGGAAACATCTTTTCCTGTTTAGAATAATTTTTCTCAGAAAATCCAAACAGAGGCAGAGGCCGATGTCTGTAACTTGATTCCAGCAGAAGATTTCACATGGGAGGAAATCAGAAGATGGGTTTAAAAGTTTGAGATCGAGTTGCTTCAATATAATTCCGAGGCTGCAGGAAATAAATATCTTTATTTTAAGGAATTTAAAAAGCATAAAATCAAGGTGAAAAGTCTGACAGCTACATCCCTCCCTTTTGTCCTGTATTTTCTTGGCATATAGAGTGACTCCTTGTTTGTAGTTAAATGGAGCAGAATTATGAAAGCAGAGAAAACAAGCGGAGTATTCTCCTCCAGCTTGTGACTTGGCTTTAGGGAAAAGAGGAGAGGGTGACCTGTTTGGAAAAAAAAAGTGATATCTCTACACTGCTCTGTCACCCAATGAAACAAAGCCTTTCACTCAGACACATAGAACAGCTCCCCCCACTGGTTGAAGTAACCCACGACACATTAATCATGACCATTTCCCCCCGTGGGCAATGACAAGAGGCTCAATTTGTTTGGTGTCTCCGTCGCTGCTCTGGACCTGTTCTCGTTTAAACTGTCAAACGAATATTTTCTGTCTTAATTAATGACGCTCTCTGTCTGCGTCTCTGAATGTGTGGTGTGCCTCAGGGCTCACCTGTGGGGCCAGCGCTGTTTTCATTTCACCGTAGTCATGTTATTTGTCAGCTCCTGTCATTCTTGAACAAACAGTATGGAAGCCCATTTGTGCCACTTTGTAAATAAATAAAATAATAAATCCAGTGAGTCATCAAAATGAGATAATTACTCAAAATAAAGACCTAGTGTCTCAATTTAACAACTTGAAATCAATCTCAAAACCTATTATCTCAGAATTATGACTTAACAACCTCAAAGTAATCACACAATATCTCCTGATATTTATTTAGCATCTCATATGATGACTTACCATTTCATAATCTTGATTTAATATCTCATTATTTGATTAACAATCTCATTATCATGAACTTATTATTTCATAAGCTTGCCTTACTCTCTCATAATTTAGTGAGAATCTTATAATTATGACAAACCCTGTCAAACGTATGACTTAATATCTCATAACTATGACTTAACATATCAATATAATGAACCAATATCTCATAATTTCAATTCACTATCTAATGACATTTATTTAAATCTCAAAAACATGATGTACTTTTTCACAATCTCTCCTTAATATCACAAAAAATCTGACTAAACTTGTCATAATGATGATTTACTTTCTCATAACTTCAAATTTTTAACTCTCATAATTTTGATTAGGCACTCATCTTTTTTTCTTTCTTTCATTGGCAGTGATGGTCTTCCATACAATGAAATGTGAGCGTTTAGCTCTTTAGCTGCTGTCAGAGACTCTGGATGTCTGAGAACGTCCTTCCACCCACTTCACACAAACTTGGGTGTACTTGTTACTGGGCCTGACATAAATCTGGAGAAAACAAGGTCACGCAGCAGTCGGCACGGTTCAGCAGGACAGCAGAGGAGAAGCCATGAATGATTCAGTGTGTTATCTGTAAATACTGCAATGCCTCCTGATGAGCAGTAGAAGGCAGACATGCCAGTTAGGACCCAATGAATGAATAAATGCAGCAATAACTGAGAGCACTGATAAACAAGTTAGTGTTTATCCACATTTTGGATTCATGCGATGCGCCGCTTTTACAAATGCAACATGTTGAATTTATTACCTTCACCCAGGTAATGTTTTCATTGCCGTTCGTTGTGTCAGTAACAAGTTTACGTTAAAAACTATCGAACCAATAATCTTCTGATTTTATTGAAACTTGGTGGAAGGATGAGACATGGGCTGAAAAAGAACCCATTCAGTTTTGGTGTGGATCTGAACAAAGGATTGTTTTAAAATCACTTTCTTTATAATTGCGGTTTTATTTAGTTTGACATTTTTTACAGATTCTAAAAGAACACATTGATTTACATTAACTGTGAATAATCAAGACTTAGCCTTGAATTGAATCAAATGAAAGTTATAGACCTGGTCTAGATTGTGACAAACCCATAATCAACACTAATCATCAAATTAAAGTAAAACATGCCACAAAAAACAAATGCCGTAAACAACATTCTCTCCACACTGGAGAGGAACTTTTCATTTTTTAAGCAAGTAAACGTTGTGTTCTCAGTTGATTTGTCATCGTCTTGAGACAAAAGCTGGCAAACTCCGGACGATGGAAACTGAAAGATGATGTTTTATTGTTCAATATAGTTTTGTGCTGCAGAGGAGAAGAGGGGAAGTCATTATCATGTATGTGTGTGTGTGTGTGTGTATGTTGCATGATATTCAGGTGGTGGCACATTTAATCATAATGTTTATGTTTACATGACTGGTCATGTTAGCTAATGTCCAAACACGTGCCTCCTCCAGAAGACACACACACACACACACACACACACACACACTGATGAGAGGAAATGAAAACATTTACTCAAACACTTTGTGAAACCAGGCAGAGCTTTTCACAGCACACCTCTGCTCTTCATAATGAAGCCTTATATCCCTGTCTGTTGAAGTCAGTTCACATCCCAAGGCCAATTATATTATGTACATGCACACAGCTGGGCTCAAACTCACTTCTAATTCTTTTATGGCCTCCCCGCTCCCCCCCTCCTTCCTCGTGGAGCCCGGCGCTCCGTGTTCCGGGAACATGTTTCTTACAGATTAAAGAACAAGGTCATGCCAAATCTGAAATCTCCGACATTAAAGAGATGTTCACATCATGAATCAAGTGGCCCTAATGGCAGCCGGGCAGTCGAGGAAATGGCCATTAGATTACGGCTCTGAGAGGACGGTGGATTAACTTGCACTTGAAGCAGCTGTTAAGTGTAACATTTCAAACGTTTCTAAATATTTTGTGCAGAGCAGCAGCCATATGCACAGTGAGGCATGTGCAGGCATCATTACGCTGCATGGGTGTGAGTGTTTTCAGGAGGCTGTTAATATGCTGAGAAAGAATTTAAGTGTATACAGATTAAAGGGAAAATCTACACACACACRCACACACACACACACACACACACACACACACACACACACACACACACACACATACACACTGACTCAATTACATCTCCTGTCTATATTTAAAAGACACATTATTCAACTTTAAACATTTCTCGCTCGTCTATATTACAACTCCTCCAATAATTTCACCAAATGAGCTGCTCCGGTCGAATGATTGGTGTGGATTACCAATACTGGCATTGAGTCGGACGTGATCCCAGCATGATCCTGATCTGATTTGGAGCAGGATTAAGAGGCAGGAGGCTCAGCAGGAGGACGAGCCGGATGAACAGTCTTTAGCGTGGTTCATCCTTAAGATTATTTACACTCCGAACCAAACATCACCTCATCCACTGAACACTGCAGACACGAGAGCACCTCAACTGCTAAACTACACAACATGAGGTCAAGTAAGCGCAGCATAGATTTTAATGGAATTAGTCAGTTATTCAAGATTCTAAATTTTACTTTAATGTGTTTGACAACAATGCAATCATCATTAGGAATTCAATTCTTAGTCTCTGCCCCCATCATACATGTGCTTGCCTGGGCACATTTTCAGAGATTGGCACTGCTCGCCTCACACATGTCAGCGCTTTCTCTCCCCGTCTTCACTCTTCTCCTGGACGCATGGTAATCATTGTTCTAATTACCTCTCAGTGTGCAGCTGAACCATGGCAGGGAAGCCAGGGGTTTGTTTGAG